GTCACTGAAGTCGGCATCTACAACTGATATACCACATAGTTGCGCAATTAACTTCCCGAACTTCGAAGGTCAGTATGTTACAGGGTTAGCTACTGTGACTCCTTGCGATCTAGCTACGGCACGAAAAGTGCCAAAACGCATAATTGCGCCGGTCCGCCTGGTGCGTTCCAGCCTGGGTTGCTAGTTTTCAACAGGAAATGCCTTTCTCGTCGAGTTTTTATTGTTTTGTGTGATTCCGTCACATTTCCTACACTCCTCATCTTACAGAATTTTGCTTGCTATGCAGACGAAAAAAAAACCATAGCATCCTTCGCTCCACTTACTTCCCCTTAAAATAGAATAAGATTGAAATTATTGTTGGAAATTTCATTTTAGTGGAATATCTGTTCATTCGGCCCATGCTAATGCCGTGTCCGCTGCAAAAAATGGACGTTTCTTATGCGAAACACTGGAAGAAAAGACAGCCGTTGGAGGTCGGCCACAGGGGCATGGGAAATTCTTACACAAAGTATGTTGTGTTTTCACCCAGAATAGCGCAGTTTTATCGCCTTATGCTTGGCCATCGATGCAACTCAGGACCTTTTCGATCTGGTCATATACACGCAGTCCCATACAAACGCTCAACAAATTCATTGATCTCAGCGGGAGTCATTTTCTAACACTGACTTAGTCATTTCCAGTACTAGCTCTATGTCCAGCACCCTCACACTACCTTGATATATTTTATTTACCTGCCGTCTTTCAATGCTTCAAGGAAAAAAGGTTTAGAAAAAATCCTTCATTTTCATTGGGATGTGTGGGATTATCGGGTTCTCCTTGCACGATTGTAGCTACGATTGCAAAAACTGCTTTTTTGGTGCTTAGACACAGAATATCTTGTACGTTAGAAGTTTTCAGTGAACTAGTTTAGTATGGATGTTATTAATCGGTCGCAGTTCATACTTTCTTTTTCACATGAGATATGAAAATAGCTCTATTGTCTTTTAGCAGATTGTTAAATTTTTCGGCCTTGTACGCTTATCTGAGTAACTGAGACTCGCTGTCTTGACTGCACTTGTTTAATACTCTTTGATTTAGGATGAATGCTGGCCGTGAGAACACAATACATTCGCTAAACACAGCCGCAAGTCGTGGCGCCGATTATGTTGAATTCGATGTCCAACTTAGCAAAGATAAGGTGAGTTCCTTGCTTCTGAATCCCTGATGTTAGTGATGCATCAGGCGCAGACTCTTCGGTATTGGCCTCGTGTCTCGTTGTCCGTTGTCTTGAAGCACACCCTACTCTTCAGAGTCTGCTCGAATGATTTCTGGTTTCATGATGATACCACCACCGTTTCACACTTGGTTGTTTGTTATTAGTCAGCTGAACAGGTGTATTGCCCTTCCGTTATTTCTTATTTACGTTGGAATCCTGGAGGGCCTTTCCTTTTTCAAATTATCTGCTTCTGCACATGATCCAAGTACTTACGGATTGTCGCCTTTGTGAAAACCGGATTCTGCACTTTTGCTTTCGTCAGTGGCCATTTATCCGCACCCATTTCTCACTGTTTTTAGCTCGGCCACGCTGAAGAAATCGACTCTGACGTACGTGATTTTGAGCGCAGCTGGTGGTGCTGTTAGAAAAGTCTTGTTTGGGTCACTGTGTGTTTTAGGTTTGACTGGATTATTGTTAGTTTTGTGTTCGGTGTATACGACTGCTGTTTTTGTCACGTATTGAATAGCGCATATTTGCCTGAAAAGGGGGAGGGAGAGACACCAAAAACAGAAGGACCGAAAGACGCTTCGACACCTGTACCCATTGCAAATAAATTTTGACTCCTGGTTCTTGAGCTGTCACAAACCGGTGAAATATTTTTCTGTTTCTCGCACAAGCATATTTGCAGATTGCTGTCATATTTCATGATTTCCACGTGCTGGTTACGGTCGCGAAACGTCGGATCCCGTGTGCGGAATCGCAGACATCCGATGTAACTAGTGATTACCACGAAATGGCTGTAAAAGATTTAAAATTGAGCCAGCTGCAGTTGCTTCGTGTTAGCTTTTCTTTCTTTATAATGCGCCTGTGGATTGTCGGCATAACGCACGTTTGGAACAAAAGTCGTTGTGATGTAGCGCGTCTAGGGCACTCTCTGTCTAGGCCGCGGCGAGCATTCTTTATTTCGGACAGACACCTGATAGCTTTTATCTCATCTAATGTTAGACATCAAAAGCTTCCGTTAATTCAGTCTGTAATTTCTGGAGCTTCTGACCTTATTGAAGATCTTGATATAATTTTGATGATTTCGACAAAATTTGCTTTCGAGATAGTACCTCTGGTAGAGCACTACTGCGTCCTGTTCTTCCAATCTGGGAAAAGGAGCTTACTGTGGCAAGGCCACCTCCTCCCCACTACTGCAAAACTAACGTAATTAATACTTTATACAGTTTCTTGAATTTACAGGGAGGTACTCTTGCTTCATCACGCTGGGAGCAAAAAATTTTGCATACTTTTCATGAAGGTATCGTTCACATTTGCAGTTAGAGCATTATAAAGCATACCCTGGTCAAGCGGTGCAGAATTACACGAGACTGACTGCCGAAGCCGATGAACAGGTGGAGCGGCTTCCATTTCCAACACTGGTTGACGCACTGCGTCAGGTGGACCGATCTGTTGGTTTCAACATCGAGGTGAAATATCCGATGATGCAAAAGGTACTGCACTTTTTGTAGGCATTTTTGTTAATTCCAGGTGTCCCTATCGATTGGCCGCTGGCCATTGCAGCAGCTACTTGATTTCCTTTGCTCCCTTTTGAGCTTGCTGCACCGCAGCACGCATCTCCATTGTCTTCTCATCATTCCGTATTTTAAATTTAAACTTGGATGGTTTGTGGTTATGAAAAATTGTAAGAAGATAAAAAAGGGAATATGAATAAAATGAAATTAAATCTGAATGGGAATGTGTCGGTCCATCAAGTCGCATACATTCCTATTCAGTGCTACATCTGGACCTCGTCAGTGTGACGGTTGCAGCGGAAATAACGCGCAATGTGCTAAAAGAAATGAAAAGTGAAAGTTAAAATTGAAAAACAAGTTAAAAAAGTATTTTGTAAAACGTCACCTTCACCATTGCATACGTTGATTTGACAGGTGTACTGTAAAGTCAATAAAATAATGAAAATAACAGATTACTGATAGAAAAACAATAAATAAGAAGTGGAGGGAAAGCAGGGATGGAAGTACGTTGAAGTTAATCGATTAGGACAAGGAAAGCTGAGGTCAGAAATAAAAAGGAAAGTAAATAGGAAGGGTAGATAACTATAAAAGATGATAAAAACTAAAAAAGTGAGGGTTTAAAATATTGTTAATTTTGATGTAGTTAAGATAAAAATATTTGGTAAAATGTAATCTATGTCGAATTAGAAAGGACGAACATATACCCAAAAGTGTATAGCTATTACACCCTCGTTGGCGATATAAAAAGATTAAAGTATTAGCTGCATTGATAAAACCTTGTAAAGTGGATTCTATCCGAAAAAAATCGAGCAAGTTGACTATATATAATGTTAGTATGTGTTTGTGGGTGAATATTGCTGTCTAAATATGAATACCTATCTACATAAAAATTAAAACAGTCTGTCTTGTTATAAAATGTAGTGCGAAGCACACCTTGTGTATCATATGAAAAGGTAACATCTATGAGTTAACTGTCTTACCATGTCCAGTAATATTTATTTGAACATCATGTTCATATATTGCTGAAACTTTTTCTCTGAAATCGTTATTTCCAAAAACAAGTATATTATCT